CTCTTAATACGAGCATCTCTGGAATTTCACTTCAGAGTGCATATCAAAACAGTTGTATTCAGAATGCATCAGTTCGGCTCGTGTGACTCTGGTATTCCCTTCAGAGCACGTATGAAAACACTTGTATCACAGGATGTGGTCAGTTTGACTCGAGCAAATAATCTTACTTCAACTGTCTTTGTTATACGGCTTCCTCTGGAATTTCCCTTCAGAGTGTGTTTTTTTTGTTTGTTTTACACCCGTTACAGTCACAGGGCAACGTTAGATCATAAAACCTTGGTTAATACAACAGTGATTTGTTCCTTAATTCAAGCATAAACTGTCTGCGAGAGATCCCGGATGACGCCCCCAATATGTTGCATATATAGGTGTTATGAAAATTGATGAAAATAATAGAAATGTAATTAAATTTGCATAATTCATCCGAAATTATGTTAATTGGTGTAATTATGCGCATAAATTATGCTAACACGCGAGATAATTGTATTAATTTATGCGAGTGGGCGTGGTTATGATAATGCAGGTCGAGCCTCGGTGACGAGGATTGTGTAATGAATTGGAATAACGCAATTAATCGTATGCAGTTCTGTAGGTCTTGTGAGCATGAATGAGAGAGAGTCGATTCGACTCTGCTATTTAATTCCGTATTATCGATAAGGATACGATTACTCTCGATTGAACATTATGAATTATGCGTGTTATGGATTATGTGTGGTGATAGTGTGCTTATGATAGGTCCCCAGGATTCATATCTCATACGCAGAACAATATTATGCAGAATTTCAGGAAGAATCACACACAACCTTTATGCTTTAATAAATTTTATTTTCTAGCTAACTTTAATTTTTGAATAATATGAAAACTCTCGATCTTGGAATTTCAACACAGCGTTAACATGATACCATCACGATTGCGTTGTTTCACTTTGATAACGGCACCTGTGGTTAATTCCCGACGCGTAACGCAATCGATTGGTGGTTGAGGACGAGATTAATACATGCAAACTATTCTATCAAAACCTTAACCTTATAATGTAAATTCGTATTTAATCATTGCCCACACAGTACCACATCCATTCATAGACCTTCAAGTCAATTCTTATCACGCTGTTAACAGTAGGACGATTGGTTATTATGCAACTCAATGACAGCAGTATTTTTCGTTATGAATTGATTTTTAATGCACCACCTTGGAGTGGCAACCCTTCTTGATTATCCCGATATGCGTATCGTGCGTCTTCTTTATCACTGGTTCAATTCTTTGCGTAAAGCAGACGCCGAGGTTAGCATCTCTGGTGTCCAAAATGTGTTTCCTGTGTTGCGGCGCGGTGGGGGAGTGAGGGGGAGAGTGTGGGGGAGGGGTTGAATACGAACGGCTCGTCACAGTTTCTGTCCACCGCTGGCTGGATGAGTCAGCACGACGCTCGCCGTCGTCGCGCCGATGGGTGTTGAGTGCGGGGCCGCTGCCCTCTCAGCGGCTGGTGACGCGAAGTTGCGCGCTGTAGCACGCTGGTGGCACGCTGTTGGCACGCGCTGGTGCTGATGCTGGTGCTGATGGCACGCTGTTGGCACGCGCTCGTGCCGATGCTGGTGCTGATGGCACGCTGGTGGCGCGCGCTCCCTCTCCTTGAAGATGCACGAACGCGCCCGTGCTGGTTCGCTGACAGCAGTTTCTCTCCACTGCTGGATGAGCTGCTGCACGCTCTTGCTTGGCTTTGCTGGTCGCGCTCTTTCCGCTGCTGTAGTATCTGACGCTGCGCTCGCGGGCGACAGGTCAAGTTTGTCTTCTGCTGAGTGAGCCGAGTCGCACGCGCTCTCTTTGTTGAGGTTGATGGCGGCTCTCTGACAGCAGGTTTCCTCCACTGCTGTATGACTCAAGTCGCACGCGCTTGGTCACTGGTTTGCTGAAGTTGTTGGCGGCTGCTCGTGCTTTTCCGCTGCTGGTTGAGCCACGTTGCACGTGCTTCCTCTGTGGAGATGCTCGAGCGCTCTCAGCGCTGATTCGCTGATACTTTGTTGGCGGCTGGCCAAGCGTTTTCTTCTGTTGAGTGAGTTGAGTCGCACGTGCTCTCTCTGTTGAAGTGCGCGAACGCGCCCGCGCTGGTTCGCTGACAGCAGTTTCTCTCCACTGCTGTATGACTCAATCTCGTTGATACATCGCGACTCAGCGATCCTCGCTACTCAGCGAGGCTCGGAGCCAGCCGCTCCATGCGACTGCTCGTCTTGTGGACGTCTTGAATCGCTGATCTGTCTTGACTGACTTAACTTAACTTTTTGAAAATGCGCTGACCGTTATATTCAAAGACATTCTTCTCTCTTTGCAGTGAAGGGGGGGTGGGCGTGGTCTGTGTGTGTGTGAGTTCGTGTGTGTGTACAGATGGCACCTGCGATAACGATGTTTGCCCTGGCGTGAAATTCCTCTCTCGCGCTCTGCGGGAGAGACAAAGGTGGTCGGGAGTACCTATCTCTTTATACTTTCGACTTTATATTTCTCAAATACCATTTGGTCCCATGTTCGCCAAGACTCGTGCTTGTAACTACGTCCTCCCGACACCCCTATCGGTTTACCGAGGTTCGCATTGTTACGATGGAATTATTAAAAAGAAAAATAATTTTCATCCTGAGTTTAAGAGGTCCGTTTCTTGATTGTTGGAATCTATATCCCTTGGTTCTGTAAGGTTCTATAATGGAATGTCGTGTAAGATGAACACGTTATTATTAATTTTATGTGTGACTGATGTGTAGCCACTTCTTTAACTTAAAAACGTGTTCGCTGGCTGTTGTGTTTTCTCATTAACCCGTCTGGCTAGCTCCAGATGGCCCCTTGTGATAAGGTGTGGTTCCTGCTTCTCCGCGCTGCGAGAGACAAAGGTGGTCGGGGTTGCTTCGGATATTGTTTAAACTCTTTCGCAAGTTTGCCCGTTGTCTCATTCCTTCTCGAAAACCTTTGATGTGACTCTGTATTTTGTCTCCAAGCTTTGTTTTAACAGTAAAAGTATTAAAGGTGAAAATCATTTGATAGCGAATTAATCATTGGATAATAATTCACTGATGTATCTGGTCTTAACTGGAGTGAGCGCGAGGACCGCTAACTTTAGCGTATTCTTGTTATTGCATTTTAAATTTTAACCGTTGTTTTAATGACAAAGGAAAAAAAATATATGGTTTAACCCGTGGGCGTCCTCGTTTCTGGCTTGCGGAGGGCTCCCTCTGCGTGACCTCCCTTAGGGCACATCAAACTCTTGTTCATCTGGAGATCTTCGCAGATAGCTGCTAACATCCTTGCCTCGAGAGTTTTATTATTTCTTAATTTATTAATGGCCTGTTTATGATCGACATCTGGTTTTTCGTGTGACTGGCTTACGGGTTTTATTGATTATTTTTTTGCGTTTGTTTAAAAAAAAATGATATATAACGGCAAATATTATTGTTAATATCAATTTTGGAAAAGGCTCATATACAACAATTCTCAATTTTTGACAGGCATATTAACAAAATTGAATTACTGCAGTGAAATATACTGCATCAGGTTATATCGTACTAACAAGCTATTTTTTTACAAATACGCTTAACAGTGTATGTACAACATACTATTGTGCCATTCAAAAACGAGTAGGCCATTGCATGCTGGCGTCTGGGTCAAAATTTATCAAATTCTAAACGTTACCTACAAACTCCACAACTGAGATGCCACATCAACCATCGCCCCCTACTGACAGGTTCTTGTCTACATGCAGGCCGGTGCAGGGCCACCACCTTGTACCACACAGGGGCAGCTGCTACTTGGGGGTGCTCTTCGAGTGTTTGAGACAAGATACGCCACAAAACTCCGAATTGCCAGAGGCGATTAAGCAAGAACCATATAAATGGAATTATTAGAAGCTTGTGAATGATTGGGAGCTTATTGGCTCTCGCTCATGGTTAGAGATCTACGCAACCCACAGGTCCACAAAGACTGGCCGCTCTGACCCTGCAGGTTGAACCTAGGAATTGAGTGTTCAACTTCTCATTCTTGTCATTAAAGGCCTGTGACAAAGGTGCATCTATTGGAGCGACATCGTCTCAAGCTTACATATCTACCGGGTCTCCATTTGACTTTGTAATGTCTCGGAGGAAGTCCACCCACACCTCCACTTCCACAAACTGCTGGGAGTTGCCTCGCTCTGCCTCACAGTCAGAATTCTCCTCCTGCTTCACGTTGCCTCCATCGATGTGAAGGTCTGATTTTGGAGTTGAATCTTCATCTTCACATTTTACCCTCACTTCTTCGCTCTTCACCGTCACTTCTTCACATTTCACCTTCACCTCTTCATATTTCACCTCGATACCTTTAAAAGTGTCCAAGCTGGGATTTTCTTCCGGTTCTTGTTTCATGAGGGATGGGCTCATTGCGGCACTTTGACTTTCACAAGCTGATTTCAGATTCCACTCCTTGTGGACCTTCTGATGCTTGTGTGTTCTCTGGTGTACATGAAGATGTGGTGACTGTGCAAACGCCTTCCCACACACACCGCATTTGAAGGGTTTATCTCCTGTGTGTGTTCTCTGGTGTACATGAAGACTTGATGAATGTGCAAACGCCTTCCCACATACACTGCACTTGAAGGGTTTCTCTCCTGTGTGTGTTCTCTGGTGTACATTAAGACTTGGTGACTGTGCAAACGCCTTCCCACACACACTGCACTTGAAGGGTTTATCTCCCGTGTGTGATCTCTGGTGTATATGAAGACTTGCTGAATGTGCAAACGCCTTCCCACACACACTGCACTTGAAGGGTTTCTCTCCTGTGTGTGTTCTCTGGTGTACATGAAGACTTGGTGACTGTGCAAACGCCTTCCCACACACACTGCACTTGAAGGGTTTCTCTCCTGTGTGTGTTCTCCGGTGTGCTACAAGAGGAGATGAATCTGAAAACGCCTTCCCACACACACTGCACTTGAAGGGTTTCTCTCCCGTGTGGGTTCTCTGGTGTACATGAAGATTTGGTGACTGTGCAAACGCCTTCCCACACACACTGCACTTGAAGGGTTTCTCTCCCGTGTGGGTTCTCTGGTGTACATTAAGATTTGATGACTGTGCAAACGCCTTCCCACACACACTGCACTTGAAGGATTTCTCTCCCGTGTGGGTTCTCTGGTGCCATTTCAAATGTGCAGGACGATCCGTGCCATATGCACCGAGCCGCGCCGAGTGCCTTTGCTCCATCAGACCAATCCTGCAGAGGAAGCGACAGCTGCAGACAGAAAAAAAGAATATCCACACCATCTACACGTCAGTATCGATGCACAGAGGAATGCATTCATACAGTCACACGTGACTCACACGTCTATACTTATTCATATATTCATGTTATAGTGAAAACGTGTCCCAAATTCATCACACGGGCTGTTATGGCACACAATGAGAGGGCAAATGGTCATAAACGTGCCTCGAAGCCCTTGTATCTTCAAAATGAATGTTAACCCAAAACTCCGAGCACACAATTTCGGCTGTCTGGATTCAAAAGGAATATTTACGAAAGCTAAATTCAGCGGACGTAGCAAAGGGTGTTGAAAATAATACTATTTGTGTTATGCAGAAATGCATAAATTGATGTTCAATCGCAACAGAGGTGTGAAAGCCAGGCACAGATGTTCTTGAATGCTGGGATGAAGAGTTCTGACTTCAGCTGCACGTGTGCTGTGATAACTTCCTGACTACATTCTTACAAAGAGTTGCAGAGGAAAACAAAAATAAACTACTGTTTTGATATAACCTCCGTGCTCAATAGAGTTAATAGACTTTACTGCAAATACAAACTTGACCCTTTCACACACTCAGAGGCGGAGCCAGGATTTTCAGGTAGGGGGGGGCAACCCCTTTCAGCAATGAAAAATGATAGGAGTTGTTAGTAAGGAGTTGTTAGTAAGTAAAGAGTTGTTAGTAAGGAGTTGTAAGTAAGGAGTTATTAGTAAGGAGTTGTTACTAAGGACTTGTCCTATGCTTTTAATTCGACGCGTGTGAAAGGCATCGCGCTCGCTTCAGGGAAGTCGTGTACTGCATACGCAACTGCGCACAATTCTGTGAGTCACTTGTAACAGCTTTGCCGTTACTTATTGCCAATTATGAACACGGACTGTTGTCCTCTCATAGAGTCCCTGGCACGTAATAATATGCCACGCGGTGGCAGTGGGGGTTGCAAAATGCTGATTCATCTATAACTATGAAAGGGAAATTTGTGAATGTGTGTCTGTTTGAAATGTTCAGCATACTTGCCAACATGCAATACAAACTGGAAATTTGGCATGTGGGTAGCTTCCAGACTGGACACAATGCACAAAGTATTAAAATAGCCATCATATCTGAGATGTCACCCTATGCGGCATCGTTACGCAGTGTGCCTGCTGACGTCACGCACACCCCCCCCCCCAACACTCCACAAAGGCCGTGTTTAAATCCAAGAATCAAAGTCCCAGGCAAAGCCGGGTAGTAAAGCTAGTCTATATATAAAATGGAAATGTGTGGATACGTGTGTGTGCGTGTCTGTTCGAAATATTTAGCATACTTCCCGACATACTACACACCTGAAATTTGGCATGTTGGTAGGTTCCATACTGTGCACAATGAAAAAAGTATAAAAATAGACTTTTGTATTTTGTATGACCATGAAGTTTGTGGCGTCAACCCGCAACACACCTGAGTTAAGCGCTCTGCAATGAATATAGAATTGAAGCTTTCGTGACTGCGTAAATTACCCATTGGTTTTTTCGGTAAAGTCCCGTATGTAGAAATATAATAAAATTATATTAAAATAAATCACGACGTTTCGAACGCAACACAAGCGATCATCATCAGGTGTAAAAAAACAAATAGCGAGGGAGCACATAGGGTGACATCAACGCAACACATAGAGAGCGTTAAACTGCACGGAGGCAAATACAACAAGAAGATGAGAGACGAGAACTCAACAAACCTAAGAAAAATTACGTGATGCAAAACCAGTAGGCCAACAACACAGTTAGACACTTGCCTGGTAGACCAAGAATTTCAGAAGACTGCTAAATTTCGTGTTCATCCTCCGGGTTGAACTAACCAGCATAGACAGAGTGAACAGATACGAGGTACAAGGCAGCAGAGATACATACACAGGGAAGAACATCCAGGGAAAGATGTATTTGGCAGCACAGATAGGGCTGTTAACAGCGTGCCGGGAGATTTTAGGTGGCGCTTTGCTCCTGGCCGATGAAGCCATTGGTTTCTCGGAGTTTCAATACATATCCTCCGTGCGAAGAACGGGTAGAACTGCTATCTTAAATATGAAGCAAAACATTACATCTGTTTGTTTGTGTGAAGCAGCAAAACCTCTCCAACGCTGAGCTCTGGCGTCGTGAAATTTTCACAGCTTATGCCGTTTGGAATTTCTAAGTGAACGCGAATATTTTCAGCTCGCCACGTCATTATTCCCTTCCCGAGTGGCCAAAATCGACCTTGCGTAGTAGTGGATTAAGGTAAAATTTCCTTGAGTGAAAACATCCGATTTAGGTAACTTGATTTGTTTCGCCTTTTTTCTTTCTCGCAAGCATCAACATTTTTAAGGGTTTTTCAGTGGATTATAAGGGATATGAAATTTATCCAAGACAAGAATCCAAGTCCCGGGTGAAGCCGGGTAGTAAAGCTAGTTACTAATAAGCCCCAATGATCCTATCGAAATTAGGGATTTCGATCGGATCGTTGGGGGGCACGTGCCTACCCCACCCCCACTGGCTCCACCACTGTCACGCACTGGCACGGTTCACAGGTGGTGGTGTGTCCAGACCCACGCCTGGCCACCTTCACCTGCTCAGAATTCATGCTTCCTCACTCCACCAAGTAGAGTGAACACCGCCACGCGTCCAGAGTGAACACCGCCACGCGTCCAGAGTGAACATCGCCACGCGTCCAGAGTGAACACCGCCACGCGTCCAGAGTGAACACCGCCACGCGTCCAGAGTGAACACCGCCACGCGTCCAGAGTGAACACCGCCACACGTCCAGAGTGAACACCGCCACACGTCCAGAGTGAACACCGCCACGCGTCCAGAGTGAACACCACCACGCTGTTGAGGAGCCTCACCTTGTGTTGTGTTGTGGGCAGGTCGCTTCTGAAAACAAAAGCGGCACAGCAGCTCAAGCGGGCTTGGCCTGGTGTAAAAAATTAAAAATAAATAAATAAACCGCGTGAATATTTCGATTTAAAGCTTTCGTGTCTGCAAGGATTCATCTTCTTTGGTTCCTTCGGTAAAGTCACGTAAAATGAGAATAAAATAATAAATTGATAAAATAAAATAGCACAATAATATTCTCACGACGTTTCGGCCACAACACAAGCGGCCTTCATCAGGTGAAGGGACGAGACTGTCCAGCGCTGTCCTACCAGACAGTCTCGTCCCTTCACCTGATGAAGGCCGCTTGTGTTGTGGCCGAAACGTCGTGAGAATATGATTGTTATTTTATTTTATCAATTTATTATTTCATTCTCATTCTACGTGACTTTACCGAAAGAACCAAAGAAGACGCGTGAATATTTACAACTAAAACAACGTGACAAAGTGGCGAGCCGCATGAAGACAAATTAAACTTAAACGCGATCAGGCTAGGCCTCGCGATCAGGCTAGGCCTCGCGATCAGGCTAGGCCCCGCTATCAGGCTAGGCCCCGCTATCAGGCTAGGCCCCGCTATCAGGCTAGGCCCCGCTATCAGGCTAGGCCCCGCGATCAGACTAGGACCCGCGATCAAGCTAGGCCCCGCGATCAAGCTAGGCCCCGCTATCAGGCTAGGCCCCGCTATCAGGCTAGGCCCCGCGATCAGGCTAGGTCCAGCGATCAGGCTAGGCCCCGCTATCAGGCTAGGCCCCGCGATAAAACTAGGCCCCGCGATCAGTCTAGGCCCCGCGATCAGATTAGGACCCGCGATCAAGCTAGGCCCCGCGATCAAGCTAGGCCCCGCTATCAGGCTAGGCCCCGCGATCAGTCTAGGCCCCGCGATCAGGCTAGGTCCCGCGATCAGGCTAGGCCCCGCGATCAGGCTAGGCCCCGCGCTGTAAAGTTCCAACCTGGACATTGCTTCCATGCGAGGCTCTACCTCGGTAAACAACAACCACCACCACAACAACCACAACAACCACCACCACAACAACCACAACAACAACCGCGATGAGAATTTCTCACCTCGGATTTCAGTGTAAGGGCGGAGCAGCAGCTTCCTATAATCTCGTGACGTCACGCAGCAGCAGGAGGTGACATGACATCACTTGTGGGGAACGATAACACTCTCCTACCACAATGAGCGGCTCCGTACGTGAATAGATTATATTTTGATTTAAAGCTTTTGTGACTGCAGTAATTCAGATTCTTAGTTTTTTCGGTAAAGTCACGTTGAAGAGAAACAACAAAATAATAACATATATATAATTTTTATTGTTTTATATATATTTTATTATTTTGTTGTTTCTCTTCAACGTGACTTTACCGAAAAAACTAAGATTATGAATAGATTATGTTAATGAGCCCGGCCCATATGAAGAGGGATGGGGCGTGGGTGCTCAACCCGTCGCGACGGCTTTCACGAAATAATTATGTTAATGAACCGCCAGTCACTGGGCGTGGCCTTGCCCAAATATGGATTCTAATTGAACAGAAAACGGCAGCGACCCAGGCAGAGGTGACGTCACGTTCAAGGGCGCCTTGGACGGGGTGAGGTGAACACCTTGGTGACATGACGTCACGAGCGAGGTAGACCTCCCCCTGGCGTTTCACGCCGATGAGGTTATGCTGAGTGGTGACGTCACAGAGAGGAGTTGGAGTTTAAGTTGATTTAGATTCATTTTCTATTGTTCCCTCCCTTGAACAGAGACCCCTTAGGTGTGTATGTACACTGTGTGTATGTGTGTGCGTACACTGTGTGTGTGTACACACTGTGTGTTTGTGTACACTGTGAGTGTGCACACTATGTGTGTGTACACTGTGTGTTTGTGTACACTGTGTGTATACTGTTTGTATACACTGTGTGTGTTTGTGTACACTGTGTGTACACTGTGTGTGTTTACACTGTGTGTACACTGTGTGTGCACTGTGTGTACACTGTGTGTGTGTGTGTACACTGTGTGTGCACTGTGTGCACTGTGTGTACACTGTGTGTGTGTGTACACTGTGTGTGTGTGTACAGTGTGTGTGTGTACACTATGTGTGTGTGTACACTGTGGTGGGCACGGTCATCTCAGTCGACAAATGGTAACTTTTCATCAATTTAATATTTTCAATTTTTTTTGTTATTTTCTATCTACGTGACATTACCGAAAGAACCAAGAATATAAATGTTAATCAGCTGCGCCACGCTGTGTGGGAGCTACCTGGCCTGTCGCTCTGCACGAAGCTCCGTGGAGCCCTCTGCATGGAAGTTCTGCGCCGGTGAGAAACTCTCTCAGGCCCCCTCACGCCTCCACACAGATTGACGCGAGCCGAGTTGGTGGTGCATTCTATTTTTACTTAAAACTTTCGTGACTGGCAGGAATTCATATTCTTGGGTTCTTTCGGTAAAGGCACGTAAATAAAAAAAAATGTTATATTAAAGAAAAAAATAATGGCAATTTAAATAAAATAAACGCTTTTTTTTCTTTATATTTGTTTTCTATCTACGTGACTTTACCAAAAGAACCAAGAATATGATAGCGCATTCTCTATTTATTGCAGAGGTTCAAGGATCAAATCGAACAGGCACACCTGGCTACCCCAGTAACATGCACCACAATGTGCGCAGTCTGCTTCACGGCAGATGTAAAAACATAGCGTTGTGTCATTCACGACGCACAGGTCATTGCATGTCGGTGTCACGGTCAAAATTGTGGCAATTCCAAATATTATCCAGAAACTGCACAACGGAGACGGCGCGTCAATGATCGCCCCCTACCGACAGACTCATGTCCACGTGCAGGCCGGTGCAGGGCCACCTTGTGCCACACAGGGGCAGCTGCCACTTAGGGGGAGGTGTCCTTCGATTGTTTGAGATGAGATTCGATACGAAACACACAATTAGGCAAGCGACTTATGCGTGCAAATATGATGTTGGTAACGTAGTGAAATGCTTGGGAGCTTCATCGTCTTTCGCTTCCGCCGACAGATGGTACCCAGCCCACAGCTCCACAGATACCAGCAGCTCCTCCTGTGCAGGTTCGGCTACGTACGGTGCGATAGAAGTTCCAGATACACACAGAGACTCCAACACAGAGAGACCCACAGATTAGCATGGTTGGCTACGTACGGTGCGAAATAAGTTACAGATACACACAGAGACTCACACACAGAGAGACCCACAGATTATCATGGTTAGCTACGTACGGTGCGAAAGAAGTTCAACGTACACACAGAGACTCACACGCAGAGAGACCCACAGATTAGCATAGTGGGCTACGTACGGTACGAAAGAAGTTCAACGTACACACAGAGACTCGGAGCAAGTTTTTAGTCGCGTGCAGTCGTGGGCCCGTGAAAGTTGAACGGGCGCATGTTGCTTCTGGCGGTAGTTGAATACAGTTGGAAAGACGCTGATAGAGACACACACAGAGACTGACAAGAGAGAGAGGTGGACAGACAAAGACAAGAGGAAGACAGAATGAAAGATACAGAGACCACAGAAACACAGTCAGCGAGAGACAGACACAGAGGGGAACAGAGACACAGACGGACAGAGAGATGTTGAATCGAACACAAACTTAACTCGCTCCATTGAAAGAGATTCCTCAATCTTTGCCCATCCCCGGAATTAAGTCGTCCTAGTTTCTATTTATTTCATTGTGTGTGGTGTGTCCGTGTAAGTGTGGGGACCGCTGCTCCCCGAATCCCAACTCCCTTGTGATCCGAGGCTCTCCTCTTCTGCACTCGGCGGAGGGTTGCTACCCTCCGCCTCTCCTACCTTCGCCGCTGCTGTGCGAGGCATGGTCCGCGGCTGGCGCTTAGCCCCCCGGGATCCGTTCGCACACACACGTGCCCTACGTGCCCAGGCACTAACAAACCCGACGCCAATACCTGCCCGTCTCCGTACACCAATCGCACGCGAGGGACTCGGGGTCAGGGGTTAGAGGGCAGGGGCGGCCACCGCCGCTCACCGCCGATTGGAGGGGGCACCTCTGAGCCGATTTAAAGGCCGTGTGAACAACCGCGGATACACGCGCACACGAGGCACTCCACCCTCCTCTTCACACTCACAAAGACCACACGACACAATTTATCCTCTACTGACGATTTTTTTCCCCACCAATAACCCGCTAAGCTACGCGTGTTTGTGTGGGTCAGCGGACACTAGCCTATCCCTCGGGGATCCGGGACTCAATTTATCCTGCCTGTCGCTCCACTTTCTACCCTCTGGTTAATTAGCCCAAACTCACCTCTCCACTACTTAACGCTTGCTCCCGCTCTGATGCGCAGGAAGCTGTGGAAGGGCGATGTTGCACGATGTCTCCGTGGAGAACTGGGCCCGGCTGCGCTGGATGCTTGTCACACAGATGACTCCAACGGCTGGTCCCCCAATCCGCTGATCTCGATGCCTTGAAGAACACTACTCCCGTCACTCCCTGGTTCACCCTCTATTATCGTTCTCACATCAAAGGGCACCGCGCTGCCCCGCCCCCTGGCCTCCCGTCCAATCAGGGGCCTCGGATTTCCCGCTCTTTCGATGGCCGGATTAGTGCTTTCTCCGACGTCCGCTTTCTGCCCCTTCGCACGAGCGCACACGTCCTACACGGAGAGGACGGCCCCCATGTTTTTCCCGCCGCTCGCTATTCTGCCCCAGCCTCTATCTGCCTGCTGACCCGTGTTGAGTGTGGGTGCCCTCTATCCGCGGTGGCTCGGCGGCCCCCGCCGTGACCACGTAACTACAAACCAGGTCACGGCACCGCGGTGCGCGTTAGCCTCGGGGTAGATCGCCCAATTCCCTGGTCGCAGGAAACCGTGAAGCTTGATCCCATGAGGGGCTTCTGGGTGAAAACCTGCCGGCCAGGTGACCTCCCCTCGGGGCTCTACGTGGGGGGTGTGCGTCACGGCGGTGGGCACGGCCCCGACGGAGCGGCTCCGCTGCGGCGGCACCACACAGCCCCCCCGAGGTGCCAGTCCCCGTCCCGGGTTGACTGGAGCACCTCGCCTGGGTTGCCCCCACGAGGCAGCGCCGCGGGGTCCGCGGGACTCTCCCGGCCCTCGTGGCCGGCCTCGGGGGTGGCGGCTCCGTCTCTCGGGGTTCCGGCGGCGGTATCCTCCTCCACTGCAGTGGTTCTCTCCGGTCCTGGGTACCTGCCGGCTGGGAGACAAACTTGGGGGCGGTGGGGTTCAGGGGCCGTCGTCCCCGTCTCTCCTGGCTCGGGTTGGGACCCCCTGGGGCCCGGGACCCCGTGGGGCCCATATACCGTGCGAGGCCCCCGGGTATCGGGGGTGTGGGGACCCCGGCGTTTCGGGGTCCTCGAGCGGCGGGGTTCTCCCTCGCTGGGGCCGCCCTCCACGGTTTTAGTCGCCGAACATTAACCACCATCTCCCGGCCTCTCTCTCCCCCCTGAATCAGCACCGTCCAGGGGGAGATCTGTCGCCCCTCCGTCCAGGGTCCCCGCCAGTAGGTGGTTAGCTTCCCCACCTGCCCGGCCCCGACGCGAGGGGTGTGCAGCCACACCTTAGAACCTGCCGAGTAGAAGGGGGGCTCCATACGGGGTCGGGCGCCCTGCTCCTGCAGCCGGTGTGCGGCCTCACCTTGCGGGTAGGCACGGACCCTAGCTTCTCGCAGGGTCCCCATCAAGTGCTCCACAGGGCGGCTCCCTTCCTCCCGTTGCGGCGGGGGGGACACCGAACAGCAGATCTGCGGGCAGGCGAGACTCGCGACCAAACATCATTAGGAACGGGGTCTGTCCCGTGGATGTGTGTACCGTGGTGGCGTAGGCGAACAGAGCATAGGGGAGGTGTTCGTCCCAGTCCCGTCGATTCGCGGCCGCCACGCGTTTAAGCTTCCCGGCTAGAGTCTGGTTGATCCTCTCTACCATCCCGTTTGCCTGGGGGTGGTACGCCGTAGTTCGGTCCTTCTGGATCCCGAACTCCCGGCACAGCGCCTGGAATAGTTCTGCCTCGAACTCACTACCCTGGTCAGTAATGACTCGTTCGGGGATCTCGTGCTTAAGTACGAAGTGTTCCACGAACGCTCGGGCCGCCACGAGGGCTGTCTTATCGGGGATGGCCACCGCTACGGGATAGCGTGTGAAGTACTCCACCGCTACGAGAATATATCGGTTGCCCCGGTGGGATCGCGGGAATGGC